AAGCCTTAACACTTGAGGTAAACATACACCCAACTCCGTCTCCTCTATTATTTATGTAGTGCGGCTTTTAAAGTGAGATAATAATTTGAAAACTCGTCTTGTTCCTTAAGGAGTCTTCCTTTTATTATGATGGCAACTGATTTATGAACTCTTTTGACCATTTTGGATCATTTTTTAATCTTACAGCTTGTAACTATCCTCTTATCTCTAACACTGATCATGCACTTAGCTTAACAAGTTTAAGAAATTTTCTATTTCGTTTTGTGTCGAATTCACTTTCGGCTTGTAAGCTGATTATCGATTTTTCACGTAATTTAATTATTGCACTGAGATAATTATTGCATAATCTCCCCTGACTAAGCAAAGTTCTCAACTTTGTGGCTTCTCAAAACTTCGGACTCCTGATTTTTTGGAAAAAAACTGTAGAAAGGTTTTTACTACCGGGGTTTTCCGAAAGTGCTCCCATCTGAATAAGCACCTATGGATGAAATACTTTACTTCTATATTATCGCCCATGGGCTCTTATTCGGGTGGGTGGTTATTTGCTTCCAAAATAGTTTCATGAAACTATCGCCCTGGTTGGATTTTCGGAAAATCACGGCATTAGAAGAGAATTGATTTTCGGTTGACAGATTCGCATTCTCTTACATGCCAGTTGATATTAGTTGAGTGATTTACAATTCTTAATATCACTAAAAATCCTTATTCACAGGTTTCTATGCCTCCTTTCAGCCGTTATTGAATATTTTAAGAAACTATTTCGTGATTTCTAAATAGAAATTTGATGTACGAGATGTCCATTTCGTATTGAGAATTTCCTTCAACCTGAAGATTACAACAGGAAAGTATGTAAAAAGAAGTATTTGCATCTAAGTTGTCATAGGCAATATTTTACGCGTAAAGAAACAAAGCTAAGCAAAAGAAAAGGGAGAATAATTCCAGTGTAGGGGAGAGGCGGGCGAAGATCGTGCTAGTGATTTCATACAAACCACCATATACCTGCATCGTCGTTAAATTAGCATAATTACTCAATAAATGAACTACTTATTACCATACTGTTATTGTATTGCTGCAGATGTGGCTAGTCCTTGACAATGAAGATGATGACACTGAATTGCCACTTCTCGAACGTCAAAAGCAAACTGGTGTTAGCCGTCAAGCTAATCCTACATCCTCTCCCAACCTGACAGTTCCCTCCCAAGAACTTCCTCCATCAGAACGTCGACACCTCATTCGTGATAGCCTCTCCAGGCGTTTCCATCATAACAGACTAAAGGTCAGTTGACTCTAAATTGGCACATGACATTTTTACGGGGATCTGTCGAATAGATCAGTTTTTCCCCTTTTGTGTTCATTTAATATTCCCATTCAGCTGCCATTCAAACTTGTAACCATGAAGATAGTGGAAATATTATTTTAGTGGCCCTAGACGCACGCTTTGTACATAGTGAAATACAGTTTATAACACCGCGGGGTGTTGTATCTCTGTCCACGGTTACTCTGTTATACGTTTCAAACTCTTTACCATATCTCTTCTTTTGTCAAGTCAGAGAATGGGGTAACATTGCTAGACCATCGTTAGTTGGTACGAATAGTCATTCCCACTCACTACCTGAGTGCCTATGGGAATTGGGCAAATTTTGCATCTTTCTGTTGTCATGTTCCTTTGTACACCCCTACTGTACTCACAATAATATCAATTATCATTCTTTTTACTAGTCAGTTTCTAATAAATGGGAAAACGTACAAGTATAAAGGGAGTTATCGTAGAATCGGCCAACGCTCTGTATTTCATTGTTGGTTAAATCTTGTCGACTTTCATAATATATTCAAAGAAATGCCCACAACTTTGCCTTCTTAATTTGCATAATATGATATGTAAATATCATTATTTATCACATAGTTTACGAGCTCTTAGGCGATATTATTTTCCTTCTGGAATTGTTTGATCTTTCCTTTTTCTCTACTTTCATAGAGAGCTTTTCTTATGAGACGTCCAGTAAAAGAGGAGGAAGACGAATCGGAATGGAATGAGTTCAATGAACTGACGGAATCTCTACACCCTGAAAATGACGCACCGCTGTTTTCGAATCTCACAATTTTCCTTCAGAACTCCTCAAAGGCATCAGATATCTGTAAGCACTCTGCTTAGCCGAATTTTATAGTGTAGCATCTTCAATCTGAACGAATTTAATTTGAATTAGAATTTTAGCCACTTAAATGCCGATGTCATTTATTAGTTATGCTAAGCTATTGGCCATTTTCGACTGTCCTGAAAATGTGTTCGTTAGAGCTTATGAGGCCAACACTTGCGAGGGAGCTAAATCGAATATTTTAACCATATTCCATTGGGTTCACTTACTCATTCCTTGTGTTCTGAATCACCGGTGTGAACTTCTACGCTTAGATTCGGATATGAAGGATCACTAGCGATAAACTCAACGCTGGCAATATTTATCAATAATAGGTCGAATTCTATGTAAGTACATTCGTTTTTTCCAAAGACGAGACCGCTATTTCAGCTACAGGTTTTTCCTCTTTCTCCTCCCGGAGCCTGCGAAGTCTCTAGCACATTAAAGGGGGGGGGGTACTTTTGCCATTTGCATGTGTTGATAATAAGTTGCGTCTTATCTCTATTTCAGTAAATTATTGTTTATTGTTTCCTTAATAACATTCGGAAGTTACTATAGCAAATAGCTGATTCTATTCCTTCTAACAGACAAATGAGAACTCACCTTAAAGTAACTCTTCACTGAACTCGATGCCTGAGCTTTGCTGTGGCTTTTATGGGTTACCTTGCTGAAATATTCTCCGGTACTGCGTTGTTTCCTGCTAACATCACCCATCGACCGATTTTGCAAACAACATTTAACCCATTTTCTTATACTGAATTTTTTTAAAAGAAAGCCTTAGAGATGAGTGGGATTGTGTAAATCGTCAGTTTGACCTTCTCCATTGTCTCTGTATGTATTATCTCAATGAAAGTTGGCCGTTGCCAACTATATCCTTAGTTCTAATGATCCTTTCCAGATCTGGTGTTGTAAAAAGGAAAAAGAAACGTCTTGACCGAAGATATGTGATCCAACTGTTCTATCTGAAATTCGTGAATAAAGATAAATGTTGATGCTTTGAAGAGAGCAACGTCATTGAGTCAGCAACAAAGTGAAAGAACCATTTAGCCGTATATCAGTTCAATTACGGCTTTTATATCCTCTTATCAGATGAAACAATTCTTGGTGTAATTTTTTCTTTTAGTACCCAACGGAGCAAATTCCACCGAAAAAAACATCCGTCTATGTAAACTGCAAGTTAAAGTGTCCAGTCTGAAGGATCTGCGTCGCCGTTGGAAGGTTTGAACATTATCCCCCAACTAGCAAAGTTTTTTATTTAATATTTAAATAACTTTGTTAAGCTGCACAAATATTGCTATATGCGCATACAGCATTGTTTTCCCCAAGTTTATATCTAATTAACCTAACCCCTTTCCCCCTTGGTGTCGTATCTTCTTTCCCTTTGTTTTGGTTACTGTCATTCATTTTCTGTCTTTTATGCATTTATAAAATTATATTTTGAGGATTGGCAAAATTCGCTTCATTCAAAATCCCATTTGGCTGTTAATGGGGGATTTCGGTTTTACATAAGTCAATTACTTGGCGTCGCATTCTATATTTTTCATCTCGGTGACCGTGGGTTTGGTATCTATAGGCACACATTTAATAATGATTGGAAATGATATTTGAGCGCGCGTCTTTCTTCCAGAACGGGCCAATGGCATTTGCTGTAGTTATAATGACACTCATTTATCAGAAGTCTAGAACTGATTCACTAAAACCAATTGCTTAGGTCCTTAGTCGTTTCTTAGAGTTCAGGATACCCACTAATCGTAAGCTTCTCAGCTGGAAGCCTGCTTGTGTCCACTGGGAAGTTGGATCACTTATCGATTGATGGAGCTCAGAACGTAAACTGGGCCGTCATCCTTCTTTCACCAACATCTTGTTTGTGTTACTAGTCGCTGCGTTTTGACTACATAAAACATAACATCTACCCAATATATCTGATCGCCATATAGACTGGACATGATCATTAGTCAAGGTGTAGGTATTACCACTGTGATTGGTCCATACTTTTTCTATTCACTTATACGAGACTGGCCAGTCCTTATACGTAAGTGCTTCGCCTTTATTAGTACTGCTTTTTCATGGAAGCGTCAATTTTATCAACTTTTGGATCCCGTTTTGAATATAAAAGAGCGCGAGGATCATTGCTTAAATTAGGGTAAAAACATTCCATTTAGCCATTTACTAGATATTTTCGGGTATTTACAGCCATGCTTTGGTGTAACTTTTTAATTGGGATATTGGCTTGAATATAAAATAACAGATGAGACATCCTAGTGAGGACTTGTGCCTACTGAAAGTCAGTTGGTGATACTGCGATCGGGAACGGGAGGCTGAGACATCACTCTCAAGGTGTAGACGGCTTTTTCCTGAAATGGAAAAAAGGTATCAAAGAACCGAATGCTACGATTGATATGAGCTAGAATATGATCATCCTCATAACGTTTGGTGGTCTCCCAATTTCAAGTGATTTAATTCGACATTATCCTTATGATCAGACCATCATTATGTGGATGTGTATATACGAGGGCGAGTCATAGCGTCCTCAGGCAACTGACTTTATGAGTGATTACATTCATTTTCTATATAGTCTCTATTGTAATTTATACGATTTTGTAATCTATATTTCCACCTGTAAATTCCATCATTGTAGATTTCTGGGACTGTCTCTGGTAGTATGAAAGTAAAGGTTTTTCGCTTCAATTAAAGACGGGAATCGGGTGCCTTTAAGGCGTTCTTTCAGTTTTGCAAACAAAAATCTAAAGGAAATGGACCTGAACTTTAAGGAGGATGTGGAACTGTTTCCCATCTACATTCGCGCAGGTGCATTGTCACGTTGTGGCAAAATTTTACTGTGAAGATTTTCCTTCGCCGTTTTTTTGGCGATGAATGTCGTCAACTTCTTCAAAACACCTTCATGATAACTTGAGGTGACCGTTTTCCATTCTTCTAGAGAGTATCAATATCTCCTTTTGCATTCCAAAAAAGTGCCCATTACCTCAACGCACCTTTTAGTTTTGAACTTGACGGGCCCAGATGTTCAAATTTCATTTATGGTAACTAAGGGTTTAAATATATGATTCTCACTTGCTTCCACCTTTTCCAAATTTGCTAAAGAAAGTTCAGCTCTTTGGATCAGTTTTGTTCCTGCAAAGCTTCTGAAACCTATCGAGAGCTTGCTCAAGGCAAGATTTTCAGTGAGGATTGAAAATGCTCATCCGTATGCTATTCCTACTTTACTGACACTTTCCTTCGTGGTAACTCGTCGATCTTGTTCCACTGGGTTCTGCACAAAAGAGATGTTTTCCTGGTTTATTGCTGTTGTGAGTCTCCATTCTTGCGGGTCGTCATCAAGTTGCACACTTCCCTCTTTAAAGCGTTGAGAGAGCAATCTCATAAATAACTGCTATACATGGGGAGAGACCCCATAAATATGTTGTAAAGCTACTTTGTCCTGAACAGGGGGGTATCAAATTTAGTTTATTCAAAAAATTTATGTTAGTCATGTGCTGAAAATTGCTAGCTATTTTGAGTTGCATCCTGTCTTGTTCTTGACCTTACATGGAATGATCGCACAGTTGGATTATCAAGGAAGCTCTAAGGACATGTTTGAACTTGCAAAAACCTGTACATCTTTGTTCTACTTAAAGTCATGGCATGTCTGAGAACTTCTTGACTCATCCTCGCATGGCGTAGCGTAATCTTTCCTGGCATAATTCTGTGCCTTTGTCTGCTAAAATGGACATATCTGTAATCCCGTGACTTTTACTTTGGAAGTTAGGTGTCGCTGCATAGAAATTGAAAGGAAGTGAGCTTTTCTTTGACAGTCTAATTTTGGGTCGTACTAGTTAATGGAAAGGACTAGTACCAGCTAGTTTCCTTGTTTCTGATCGATTTTTTAAAAAATCTGCTCAATTTTGGGGGGGGGTGGTGGAACAGTAGATTTTCCTTCGGCAAATAACTGGGTATTTAGGTGGTCAAAACTAACCTCTCCATTTGGCGACAATAATGCCGTTCTAGTACTGGCACCCATTTCCCATCTATTGCCTCCACTCAGTTCTAAGCCTTCTTCATCAGCGGGTTTGCAACCATCGGACCAAATCTAAAATAGCAAAATATCAATTTAGTTCTTCTGAAATTGCGACTGGAGGCAATGAAAAATGAATGCTTTGAACACGGTGGTTAAAAGCGTTTTATTGGGAGGCCGATGCATACAATAAAGATAGGCAATGTGGTTGGCCGTCAGCCAACCTAATTCCGTTGGCCTGTCTCTATTATAGATATACATAATAATGAAGTCGATGGTGAATGAGTGAGATAATTAAGCATGATGTGTCCTTCCACATGGGACAAGTCCTTACAAATGATTGAAAATGGCAATGACGTGAATATACTTGAATATCAGTCACAGGCATGAAAATGGGAAAAGGGCGTCATTGACTCTTTGGAAACAATTGGGGTGAGAAGACACTGACGAACAAATCATCCACACGCTGAGAAATTTATTATCTGTGGATGATTGTTGCAAGAACTATGTGGAAAGAGGGCGGTACACCATCATTTGAATACATACCACTGGCATTTCATTGTAGCGATAATACGGATAGTTGAAAGCATTATGAGAGGCAATTAAAATGATAATCTGTAAATTTCAGAATCCAGGTGCAGTTCGTGAATAATCCCAAAAGACTTTCTGATAATGCTTAAATCACTTCAATTAGCCTTTTGTTTCGAAGTCCTTAAAATGCTAATTTTTAACTAACATGGTTTTGGTGATTCTCAATTTTTATGATCCTTTAAACTTCCTTTTCTGTTTCTCTCATTGAAATGTTTTCGACCACTTCACAGTGCTCACCTTACCTTTTCTCTGCATTTGTGTCTATCTGTCTCTTTTACATCTCTGAATCACTCTTCTGTCCCCCCCCCCTCTTGAATTTTTCTCACTTTGAGGATTCTCCCCTCTGTGAAGCTCGAAGTCAGCACAAGGGCTAATGATAACTATCAAAACGCATGCCATTTGAATTAAGTAAACAATTAAATGGCATTTACTATTTCAATCAATATTCTAATAATAAGTTTTAGCTTTAACTTTTAAAGCTTATTCCTCTATTGAAAAAAATACAAGATTTTAGTGACGAAATTCGCCGTTACAATTGGGCAGGAACGCCTAACAACGGTCGTTAGACAGCAAACATGTTCATAAGGACACGTCTAAAT